GGGTAGCCTTAGTGTGAGAGCTTAAAACTGATGTTGAGCACTGGTCCTAGCATACAGCAGGGCAGGGTTGGGGGTGGGGTGCTGGATCTATCTCTCTCTTTTTTATGCACCATGTTTGATATGTAAGGTTCAGAAGCAAGTTGAAGCTAGATACACTTCCAGTCCCTTAGTCTTCTGACTTGCCAAGTCTGCTAGCATACAGATTCTTTAGATTAGACACCACTTTTATTACACTAGAAATGAAAATCAGTTTTTATTGCATGCCTGATGATTTTCTGAGAACATTTTAAGCACATTTCTCTGTTCTAATGGCAGTACTGGCATAGCTAGCCCATTTGCTATTCATAGAATTCACTCTGGTAGGGAAAGGCTAAGTTCTCCTTTTTGCACTGAACCCCACTTCTTGGTTTGTTGTGTTATTGTTGTTGTTGTTGGTCTAATCACTGGAAAAGAAGGAAAGTCTTTCTTCCAATAAATATGGAACTCCTTATAATAATAAGACCTTAAAATCCCTAGCTCACTAATTTCTGTGTTATTTAACTGAAGTACTTTCACTTCTAAGAAAGACGTGATTATAATGAAAATGCTAAGAACTTTGCTTAACCTTTTTCTAGGGAATTTGAGATTACTGTGCAATCCCATGTTAAGGATGTCAGTAGTGCTTGTAAGGTTGCTTTTGTGTCGCTCAACGGCCTCGTTCACCATGAGCTGCGAATTAGATTTTATTTTGCTCTTGTGCTGTATGGTATCCTACAAATAGCTCCCTTAATTTCCAAAAACTATGTAAGAGCTCACATTTGACAAGGTAATTTGTCTTAATCCATATGGTTAACACTTCACAATATGTAACTTATATGCATCCCAAAGGTGCTTATCTAATCATTCTTCCAGCGGTGATTTTTTTTTCTCATATTAACCTTGATAGCTAAATTTTAAATGATTCATTTGCTCATTTTGGCAGCATAATAATTGCCTTTCTGCCTCAGGATGTACATAGTTTGATATTTGGCTCTCGGGCCTACAAAAATTACCAGCCATCTTTGCCTTTTTATAGTCTACCTAGACAAAAAGAATGAAGCGCAGGGATACAGAAAATCTCTCTTTCAAAACTCTTATGGTTTTCTTTTCAACTCATGTGAATTTGTGAGTGTCTATGTGGAGCTTTGTGCACATACTCACAGAGGCGCATCATCCATCCTTGTTTCTGGGACTTTAACTCATGTGTGAGGGAATCCTCTATCAGCATGATTGAGCTATCTCCCCAGGGTATAGTAATGGCTCTTGAGAGATCATGCTTTGGCTGGAATAAGAATGAGAAAGGGGCATCTCATTTAATCGAAAAGGGTTATGATAAAACTTCATAGGTATAAAGTAAGAATATGAGAAGGCTTTGATATATAATAAAATGTGTAATGTGATTCTAGAAAATAGCAGCTTATTTATATATGAAAAGACTTATGGATCATCTTAGAGGAACTATGAGGAAATTTTGCTTCTATTTTCAGTTCAATGAGAAACCATTGAAGGATTCAAGCAGTGAAGCAAAGTCACATAATTTTTTTTGAAAAAAAATCCTTTCTTATTTAGAACAAAATAAATTTTCAGAGAGCAATCATATCACTATACAAGGAGAATGGATCTGTAAGTAGTTGACAATTAGTTCATGTGTGTAAAACCTTAATCCAAAAGACATGGAGATGTTGTAAGAGGAGGGAACAGCAGCATAGCTTTCTCTGTATGAGTTATATGATAGATGGCCCAACTTCTCAGACATTAAAACTGCATCTCTGTTGTTGAAGTCATCATCTAGCCAGGATCTGATGTTTTTAGTATCATCCTGAGCAAATGAGTCATCTGTAAATTATTTTTCAGACAATACTATCATGTAGTGGGACAATGATCTGTATTCTGTCAATTATAGTTTAAATACCACGCTGATTGGCCAGTAGCCAAGCAGGAAGTATAGGCAGGACAAACGGGCAGAAAGTAGATATGGGGCAATGAGAACAGGAGAATTCTGGGAAGAGGAAAGCTGATTCTGTAATCCTGACCCAGCCACAGAACAAGCAAGATGTGACTGCCTTGCCAAAAATTGTATGGAGCCACACTGCTAACATAGACAAGAATAATTGGCTAATATGAGTTATAAGAGTTAACAAGAAGTCTGAGCTACTAGGCCAATCAGTTTATAGTTAATGTAGACCTCTGTGTGATTTCTTTGGGACTTAACAACTGGGAGAACTGGGCAGGACAAAAAAATCTCAGAGAACACTATCAGGATTGAATAATGGGTTGAATGCATTTTTTAAAATGTTAATGAGAAAGCATTTATGTCAACGAGTTTGATTTTACTTTATTTCTTATTTAATTTTACCAGCCATCTGGGAGATTAGTGTAACCATTAATTAACAGTTTTTTTTTTTTTTAATTCCTTGGACAAAATAAGATCAGACTGGTAGAGGAGGGTGGACTCAAATATTTACTTAGAGGCAGGCATATTTGGTTATCTCTGAGGTAAGCAAAAAGAAAAAAAGTGACCAGTAAATGTTTTGCTATACTAATTCATGTCCCATTGGAAAAGTCCATATTGAAATATGAGTCAAAGTTGTCATCATTTATATTGTATCTATGTTTATACAACAAATGAGACCAACTTTGAGCCTATGAAGAGAAATGGAGAACAACATGTAAAAGGTAGTTTAAGAAAAGGGAAAACTGTCAAGCAACACATGGGAAAAAAGTTTCCAGAAATGGAGTATTTTACATAGCTCATCTAAATAAACATTTTTGGCTTCCACAACACATAATTTAAGAAAGATAAAGAAATGAACATCATTCTATGATGAGTAGAAAAACAAAAAAATGTGATGTCTATAAAATATAATGTATACGATTTTATATGGATGTAAATGAAATATGCTGGAGGCAAATATAACACAATTTATGATTTCTTCATCTTTAATAGATTTTTGTCGTTGGCCTTGGGTATTTAAGATGCGTACTCTGAAGTCATAGTGTGTAATTTGTAGGGTAAATTCATGATAGCAAGAGAACTGCAGGAGGCATGATTAAATCAGATACATTTATAAGATATAAGGGGTGTGTCTATACTGATCTGTAAATCTAGCTTTATCATTGTGGGGAGAATGATCAACTACGTTTATTTAAATAAAGGAAGAATGTGAAGATTTCTACAATTGCAAGATGGGTTGAAGTTATCATGGTCTAATGGTGGAAGAGGTATGAGCCTATGAAATATTTTAGGAAAATCTGCTTGTCTTTTGAGAGTGATAAAGAAGCTCACTAGTCTGCTTTCTGCTTAAGTGTTAAATTTCTCATCTCTTCCACTACTATGATTCTGCTCACACAGGCAATCTTCTATTCATATGGGGATGGGACAATTAGTTCTAAGTCTTGTCACAGTGAACAAAGAACAGTGACTGTAAGAGTCCATTACATAAAATTCACGATACTTGCATATGGCTTTTTGATGACTTTCTTTATACTTCAAAATATCTGAAGATTGTATTTTAGTATAATGTAAATGTTGCTATGTAATAGTTTTTATTATGTATTTCTCCTGTTACATTATTATTTTTGCTTGTATGCATTATGATACACATTCTTTTGACTGTCAGAACACAACTTACTAGAATCAGCTCTCTTTTCCCACTATTCAGGTTCTGAAAATTTAATTCAGGTTGTCACAATGCAAAAAAGAGTGCCTTTACTCAAAGATCTACCTTACTGTCCCTATTGGTTATTTTTGACAACAGAAAATTCTGTGTACATTTAACAAATATATCATTTTCTAATATTTTCAATACATAATTGATTGAATACACACATGCAGAACTTTTTGACATTGGGGGGGGGAACTGTCAATACACCAATATTTAGGTCCAAGATACTAGTAAGGCCTTTGGCTATGCAGTGAAATTTTACTGAAATGAATACTTTGTGAAATAAATAAAATAAATGAAATAAATAAAATTGTGAAAACTTTATATAATACCTTCCTTCAACTACAGAGTAGATCTGAGAATATCAAGATATCCAAGATATGTTTTCTAAGAGTTCCTGGTTTCCAAAGTATCTTTCCTTAAAAATATTTTTCTTGAATGAGTAAATGTTCACAATAATACTTTTAGTTCTTTATTAAAATAATGTTTACAGTATAAAAGTAAGCCAATACTCAGTACAAAGCACAAGTAAAAGCATTTCAGAATATTAGTAAGAGAACTGATATCCAACTGCATACGATTTACAAAAAAAGAAATTGATGTCTGAGAGTGGGTAAGGATTTACAATCCCAAATGGAAGGAGGGAAATTGATAGATTTTTCTTCAAACCAAATTTAGATTTTTGATATTGCATCATCTATATCAATTCAAAATGAGATTCACTTGTATCAGAATCTGCTAAATAACAGTGTGTGACAACTGTACACTATAACTTGGGTTACCTAATAAAATGACTTGAAAAGAGCTATATCTTAGTTCCAAAGTCCAAGTACTACAATTGTTTAAAGAGACTATCTTCCTTTATAAAATGTGATTATCTTAGCTTAAAATTTTGTGTCTATGTGTGTAACATCTGTATGGTTGAAACATTGGTCATGCTATGTATTCTCATTGTATCATTTCTATTGGCTCTTACATGGAATTGCTCTTTTCCCTAGATCTGGCAATGTGGAGGCTCTTTGGAGATTGTGACTTGCTCTCACGTCGGTCATGTTTTTCGAAAGGCAACTCCATATACATTCCCTGGTGGCACTGGCCATGTCATTAACAAGAACAACAGAAGACTGGCAGAAGTTTGGATGGATGAATTTAAAGATTTCTTCTACATCATATCTCCAGGTAAACAATGGTGACATTTTCCTTCCTCTAAAAGGAAAAGTAAAAATTTAAACATGCAGAATGTCTGTTTCATTGTTCTTATTATCCTAAGAGCTAAAATAAAATATTATTAAGTACCAGAATATCATGGAAAATTGTGTATGATAAAGTTTTATGAGAAAGGACTTTTAACCTAAAATAAGAAAAAAAAACCTTAAGTAGATATTTGAAATTTTTTTTAGTTCTCTACCCAAATAAAAGAATGACATTCCCACAGATATCCCAATTTATTTTAACACATACCATGAAATTTTTATCTTGTATTTAAACTGTATGGCTTAGTAAACAGTCAATAAAGTGAAGAAGTGATGAAACAATACTTAATGGTAAACGTCTTCCTACGTTCGTTCCACAGACCTAGTTGTAATGAACAGACCTAGTTGTATAGAGGTAAAAGTAAATGAAGACTGAAGATGCGAGGTAGAAATGATTATTATCATATATTGTTTATACTTTTTATATTTTATAAATTTCTCAGTACTTCAATATTACTTATGTGGAAGAATATTTTTAGGAATAAGTAATTGTGTAATAATTGAGTTTCAGAAAAGGTACGACATTGTTGTAATAGTTTTCTTTAATTTTCTATGATTTTCCAACAGTATTATTACTTACTTTTAGATAAAGACCAAAATTTGAGGCACTAAAATGATTATGCAACAACAAAACCTGAAGCATAAGGATCAGCAGTGCCAGGCTAACCAGCCTAATGATTAATTAATGAATTGATTTCGCAAGTTAAGTATAACGATTGCCTTTAGGTGTCAAAATATAGATCTGATTATCAAAATAAAAATTTAAAGTACTTTGGCTATATTAACAAAACAGTTTGAGTGTTCTTTCTTTGATATTTCTACACCACTTCAAGGTACTCAGTGACCTTCTCAGGTAACCCTCAAGGACAAAAGGGATTTACACTTTCGTACTCTTTTCTGCAATATAATCTATTACATAGCTTAAAAGGGCAGTTTGCTTTCTAAATGGCACACACTGGTTTCTGAAGCTTTATATAATGCCAGTGACTGATTTTATAATAAACAAGTGTGAAGAATGGAAAAGCCTGTATGGGCCTTCTTATGATCCAGAATTCTATATCAAAAGAAAACTGGAGGTATTGTGTATGTGAACGTGTGAATAGAAGGACCTTTTTACACTTTTTTCAAGCCTTTCTCTGTCAAGTCAAATGCTATTCAAGGAACACTACTTCATGACTACAAGTATTTTCTTTATAGTAGAAATTCTCTCCAGATGTTCAGAGTTCAACAGAATATGTAAAATCTGCGGGAAAGCAGTGACATTTATATAACCTTTCCATATTATTTTGTTGGCATTTCTTGAATGAAAATCATTGCTTGTAGAGACATTAAGTTACAAAATAAACAAAGCACTAATGGATGAAAAGAAATGTATTATGAGGAAATAGATGAAGCTTGCATTAACAGCATGAATGATTGGGAATTATTGGAAACATGCAATGTGTTAATCCGTAGTGGAAATAATGTCTGGAAAGTAATGCTAGGGTGGGCTAAGAGACCTTTTCTCTCTGACTGAAATGAATTGACAAGCAGAAAAGGTGTGCAAATTCGTTAATGCTCAAAGGGGTGAAAGTCACAGGGAATAATCATAGGATTGTGAGCCTGCAGTAAATTCATCTGATAAAAAAAAAAACACAACCTTTTCTATATGAGAGCAGGGGGTCAGGGACTGAGAATAGCGAATGAGCTTTCAAGGAGTTCAATGTATGGGAACAACAAGCAACAACACATGTAAATGTCTAGTTAGCACACCTGTGTACACTACACACACACACACACACACACACACACACACACACAGTGTTGTTAATGTTTATGAATGGAAAGTGCTGAGCTACTGTTGCAATTATTAATGCTGCTCTTGGGATATGAGTTTAGTTAATGAAAATTTAGGGAATGAAGCAGAGATTTATTATTATTATTGTTATTATTTATTATTTATTATTTTAGCATGTGGTAAACTTTGAACTTTTATAGGAGACAAACTTTGGACAAAGTTTATTCCTGTCCCACTGCAGAAAATGACAGTTCATTGTTAAGGCATTTGAATTTTCTCCCTATCAAATTGTATAGCATCAAAAATGCCTTATTTGCAAGGCATTGATCTTAAAGTCTCAGTATTAGACATTTTTTTTGTAATTATTAATTGAGCTAAAGAGTAGATGAATGACAACTAGTTTTCAAACTGCACAGAAACGGTCCATTTCAAAGTTCACATGGGGCAGTCTCTATCTGATCTTGGGACTTGGAAATGTTTTTTTGTTGTTGTTGTTGTTGTTGTTTTAGGGGGGGTTCGAGACAGGGTTTCTCTGTAGCTTTGGAGCCTGTCCTGGAACTAGCTCTTGTAGACCAGGCTGGTCTCGAACTCACAGAGATCCGCCTACCTCTGCCTCCCTAGTGCTGGGATTAAAGGCGTGCACCACCACCACCCGGCTGGGACTTGGAAATGTTAAGCAGAGCTGTTTGTATCACCAGGGATGTGCCCATGTTCTAACACATTCATGAGCACTTGGGATTGACCTGTTTCTACTACACAGATTTGTAACTTTGCAAGTAGAAAAAAAAAAAAAAGAGGGGGGGATGAAAGGAATGGATTAGGGGCTGGAGAGATGGCTCAGAGGTTAAGAGCATTGCCTGCTCTTCCAAAGGTTGAGTTCAATTCCCAACAACCTCATGGTGACTCACAACCATCTGTAATGGGGTCTGGTGCCTCTTCTGGCCTGCAGGCATACACACAGACAGAATATTTTATACATAATAAATAAATAAATAAATAAATAAATAAATAAATAAATAATACTTTTTAAAAAAGAAAGCAATGGATTGAAATTCCTTAAAATCTTATAAGAGCCATTGATAGTTTAACACTCTACATTAAGTAAATGGGACAATCTGCCCACAAACGTAGAAACTAAAAATAAGAAATTATGATTTCTCAATAGGACACTGAGATTTTACACAGGTCAGAAGCTACATTTAGATGACTAAACAAACAGAATCATTGTCAGGTTGTAGATTACCCTCAATCTTACCCCAGTAAGATATTCAGGAAGCTAAGAATGATTTTTTTTTCTCTCAAGACAGGGTTTCTCTGTAGCCTTTGGAGCCTCTCCTGGAACTTGCTCTGTATACCAGGCTAGTCTTGAACTCAGAGAGATCTGCCTATCTCTTCCTTCCAAGTGCTGGGATTAAATGCAGGTGCCACCACGGCCCAGCTGATTTCTGTTTTAGTTTTATATAATAAAGGTTTAGTCATTATTTAATTTACCATAAATTTTGATGGATTCTGCAGTTAAAGTCAAAATGCCAAAAGCATTCATCATTTTCTGAGTGATTAGTTTCTGTCTTTGTGTGTCTTTTGTCAATAAGTGAATTTGTAAAAGGGAAATGTAGGCTTTTACATGCATAATTAAAATAATTTCATTCAGCCGGGCGGTGGTGGCACATGCCTTTAATCCCAGCACTCGAGAGGCAGAGGCAGGCGGATCTCTGTGAGTTCGAGACCAGCCTGGTCTACAAGAGCTAGTTCCAGGACAGGCTCCAAAACCACAGAGAAACCCTGTCTCGAAAAAACCAAAAAAAAAAAAATTTCATTCACTGTAATGAACACGCAGATATGTATGCATAGGTTGACAAGGGAAGACACAGCCCACTGTGGGATGGACAATCCCCAAGGCAAAAGGTCTTGTAAAAGAGAGGAGAAAGCAAGCAAGCAAGTTAGCAGGCCTGAATGCATATAGTTCTCTCCGCTCTTGAAAGTGATTGTGACAGGACTAGATACTGTGAGCTCCTGCCACTGTGCCCTCTCTGCTGTCATGAACTATAACCTAGAAATATATGCCACCTTTCTACCTCAATGTGTTTACTGATCAGGGTGATTTGTCACAGCAGTGAAACTGAAATGAAGACGGACGCCCTAGACAGTGTGATAAGCTCTTACAGTGCTGTGTTAGCTTTAATTACTTACCTCTGTCTAAGATCTTTTAGATGTTGATACTCCTAGTATCTAGAAATGTTCCTATAACTTTGTAGAGCTTGGTAACTTGAAGAACTAACAAACCATGCATTTAGATGGCAGCCGCCTTGTTTTGCTTTCTGTTGAATTATCTATAGATGTCTAGCTTATACCAAGTAATCAAATCCAAAGCTCTGCCCCTCCTCTACTATCCAGAACCAGCTTAAGTACCAATAGATAGAACAAAGTTGAAGATGGACTCCATTTGCTTGGAATGAAAGTCCCAGCAGTTTATATGTGGCCAGTTTTTATACCTTTAGATAATTACTGAAGTACACTCTATAGTAGCGCTCCTCTAAATGATTGTAAAGAACCAAAACCATAGAATACAAATATCCTAAACATATAAAATCAAGGTAGTTTTGCACCTGTTGATTTCTATTTTCCCTGAGTCCTGAATTGTTTAATATTCTGTAGGAGCCCGTGAAGAGCTACACACGCTAACCACTTTTTTTTTTTTTTTTGACTACTTTATTTGCTTACTGATACCCTGATTGTATTGGCCTGTGCCCAATTGACATTTGGCTACTTTGAAAGCATGGGTATGTTTCCAGTTCTATCTGTACCTGGAGAGTAAATGAGTAGCAATGCCGCTTGTCAGTACTGCAAAGAATAGGATGCGCGTAGTGTGCTTTCTGGCTGTCTTCGTAAGGATGCTGATATCCAGTTTAGCATCATGGATTTTAAAGCCCAGCAGCAGCCCTTAAAGGCTTGAGGCAGATTTTACTTGTAATTGGGCTGTTTCAGCTAGAGCCAATCTGACGGCCCCAGCAAATCCTTTTAACTGAAATGCTGTACGTAAAAACCCCTCTTCACAGAACACTCCTTGTAAATGCGGGTGTTCATCTTCTCCCTGTTAGTCGCGAATAAAGATTTTAGGAACTTGAAAATTGCGTGTACTCATAAAATAA